CCCCCGCCCCACGGCCCCAACCCCACGGCCCCCGCCTCACGGCCCCAACCCCATGGCACCAAGGGGAAGGACAGGCCCCGCCACCACCTCACCTGCACACAGCAGCGGATCATAAACACGGGAGGGGGTGCCCAGCTCCTGAGGCCAGAATGCCAGGGAGACGCAGCCTGGTCCCCGCGGCAGCCCCAGCCCCACCTGGAGCTGACAGTAAGGGGTCCCTGTGCCACCATCTAGTGTTCCCACAGCACAGGGACACCACTGACACCCCCAATTGGCCAACACCTGCTCAAGCCACAGTGATGTAGCCAGGACAGGCCCCATGAACCCAAAACCACTGGTGAGTCCTCTCAGTTCCAGGGGTCTCTGTACTTAAATGGCTCTCCATTTACATGAAAGATTTAAAACGTCCCTTTAAAATACCTGGATTTAGGTAAAAACCTAAATGCAATTTAAGGAAGGTGTTTACAAAGTGGGGCAGCGTGGAGCTATGGGTGCCGTGTGGGGGTAGGGGTGGGAGATCGAGCGTGCAGTGCCCTCCTCAGGCCCTCTCACCTCGGGCAATCACCTTAATGGCCACTCGGACCTGCCCTTTCCAGAGCCCTTCGAAGACCTCCGCGAAGTAGCCAGAGTACCCAGCTTCCTGCAGAGTGTAAACTCTTCCTGGGGACGCTCCCAGTCATCACAGTGGGGCAGCGGCTGGGGCTCGCTGCAGGGGCAGGGAGTGAGGGGGTACAGGAGGGCCTCACCGTTCCCCACCCCCAGGGACAGCAGGCACAGGGCAGGGAGTGAGGGGGCCCAGGAGGTGGGGCTGGGAGGGGACACTGGTGCCGGGCTGCCCAACTCATCCTCCAGAAGGGCCTGCCTGGAACCCCACGAGGGCCCCTGGTTTCTCCTCCAGCGGAGGGTTCCAGTGTCCTGCACAAGCCCTGCTCCCAGGGACTGCCTGGCACAGCTGTCCCCCTGCTGTGGGGCCTGCTCTGTGCCTGAGCTCAACTGCCGGGCACCATGACTCCTGCCCCGGGCTCCCGCAAGTCTTGAGAGGCGCAGAGCCGGGACGCGCGGGGCATGGGCTGGCTTCTCCTTGGCCCAAGTACAAGGGAGCCCTTCTCCACACCCCTCCTGTCCCCTCCTCCGTCCCACCTCCTGTCCCCTCCTCCGTCCCACCTCGTGTCCCCTCCTGATGCCACCTCGTGTCCCCTCCTCTATTCTC